AAGTTTCGAACATGGATTATCTGCAAAACAAAAATACCAATGTGAACATCTGAAATACCTAATTTTTCTACCAATTCAAAAAGGAGGAAGTACTCAATTAGTCCACTTAAACCACCAATTAAAGTCCACTGCTGAACATAGGCCTACCATAGATTGCATCATAGAGGGGATATTTGCCATAGTTGCCACGCTTGGCAAGCGGCTTGGCAAATGCAGCTTATTTTTTATTTATAGTAGTGTAAGACCATGTACCTCCCCTGTTGGACCTTCTGCTGACCTCTCATCCGGACGGATATCAGGTCTCCGTCGATCTGGCTCGCCTGTGATCGCCGTCTGGGCTCTTCGGACCATTGTCTGATCCGGAGTACGGTGCCACTCACGCCCCAATCGCAGTTGCGATCTGCAGCTTGCCGCCGTGTTTGGCACTATAGGTCAGCTGATTGGGACGGGATGCGGTCTTTTTTTGCATCCTACCCTTGGAGGCGGGTTTGCTTCTCGCCGGAAGATCCCAGCGTTGTTGCCGATTCTGTTGCTGATGTGGTACTTCAGGGTATGGAACTTTTTATTCCATCCTCTGTGGTACTCATCGGAGGCAGATCCCAGCCATGGTTTGGTCGCTCCTGTAAAATAGCATCACGCTATAAGCAGGAGTGCTACCGGGCCTAGGCTGACGCATCAGCGTCTCGGGATGTAAACATCAGCGCACTTAAAAAGAAGTATAATTCCGCCTCCAGGTCCTTCAAAAGCGTCATTGCCAAGGCAAGGTCTGAGCACATTGGCAGAATTGGCGAGAAGCTAGTTCGCCTTCCTTCGGGAACCCGTGCATTCTAGTCTCTGGCCAAGGCTGTCCAAGGGAACTTATGTCAGCCATCTCTTCCATCTCTGCACAGAGAGGACGACTCACTGGCCCATGCCGCAAAGGAGAAAGCCGATCTGTTGAGCTCTCTTTTTGCGTCCAACTCGACTCTAGATGACGGGGGAAACACACCGCCGACCATCCCGCGATGTAAGTGCTCCATGCCGGATGTGCGGTTTACACAGCGCTCGGTTCGCAAAGCACTCTTCTCCCTGGACGTCAGCAAGTCGAGTGGGCCCGATGGAGTCCCTCCCATTGTGCTGAAGACGTGTGCTCCGGAGTTGGCACCGGTTTTAACGCGTCTTTTCCGGTACTCCTACTCCCAAGGCGTAGTCCCGAATTCATGGAAGACAGCTTTGGTCCACCCGATCCCTAAAAATGGCGACCGCTCAGACCCGTCCAACTACAGGCCTATTGCCATCACCTCCTTGTTTTCCAAAATAATGGAATCCATTATAAACTGCCAGCTCATGAGGTACCTTAAGGATCACCAGCTGATTAGTGACTGCCGGTACGGTTTTCGCGAGGTCGATCAGCTGGTGATCTTCTAGTCTATCTGACTCATAAATGGGCGGAGGAAGTAGAGTCCAAGGGGGAGGCATTGGCCGTTAGTTTGGACATAGCGAAGGCCTTCAATCGGGTCTGGCACAAAGCGCTTCTTTCGAAGCTTCCTTCCTATGGGCTTCCCAAAATTGCAAATTGTGCAAATGGATGACCAGTTTCCTTTCTGATCGGAGCATCAAGGTCGTAGTAGACGGTGCATGCTCTGATTTCAAGCCTATCAACGCTGGTGTTCCACAAGGCTGCGTGCTATCACCAACGCTGTTTCTCCTGCATATCAATGATATGTTGCTAACTGGTAGCATTCATTGGTATGCAGACGACAGCACTGGTGATACCTTATATACCGGCTGTGCCAATATTTCTCGGGAAAACGTCGCTGAGTACCGGGGCAAACTTGTGTCTGAAGTCGAGTCTTTGCTTAACAGTCTCGGATTGGGGTCGACTAAATCTAGTCCAGTTCAATCCCCAGAAGACACAAGTTTGCGCGTTTACCGCTAAAAAGAACCCCTTTGTCGTATCTCCTCAGTTTCAAGACACTCCCCTTGCTGCCTCAGCTAGTATCGGAATCCTTGGCGTCGACATATCGAATAATGTGCAGTTTCATGGTCACTTGGAAGGGAAGGCCAAATTGGCCTCTAAAAAGCTTGGCATGCTCAGCAGAGCGAGACAGTATTTCATGCCGGCACATCGCTTGCAACTTTACAAAGCGCAAGTTCGGCCCCACATGGAATACTGTTCTCATCTCTGGGCCGGGGCACCCCAGTGCCAGCTCCTTCCACTTGACCGCATCCAGCGCAGAGCGGTTCGAATCGTGGACGACCGAGTTCTTTCTGATCGGCTCGATACACTGGCACTGCGTAGAGATGTAGCATCTATTTGCGTATTTTATCGCATCTATCACGGGGAATGCTCTGAGGAATTGTTCGGACTAACTCCAGCCGCTCAATTTCACCATCGCACATTGCGACAAAACTCGCGTTACCATCCATACCATCTGGATGATTGGCGGTCCACCACTGTGCGATTTAGAAGAAGTTTTCTCCCTCGCACAACTTCCTTGTGGAATCAATTACTACCAGCGAATTTTCCGGACCGATACGACTTAGGAACCTTCAAGAAAAGAGCTTACACCTTTCTAAAAGGCCGGCCACGCATCTGCAATTCCCCTGGTGTTGCGGTTGTTCATGGGCGGTGGTAGTCACTTACCATCAGGTGAGCCGCATGCTCGTTTGCCCTCTCTTCTATAAAAAAAAAGTTATTAGGAAGACGCTGCTGCCTATTTCCTGACTTTTCCCCTCTGTCGCTTCTTATGACAGAGGAGGAGGGATGATATGGGGTGACGAATATTTTTACACAGCCACTACACGGTAACGCAGCTTAATGCTGTTGTTTCGCTGGCGAGAAGGCTAAGTAACCGCGGCTTGGTCACCCGCACTGAACAAAGGGGAACCCACTTGGCTGGCCCGTGGTGTAGGGCCGGCCCAAGGTGGCCACTCCGAGTGGGTTGTCTTCTGTTGTTGTTGTTCTCACTTCGGATGTGTGTTGGTGGGCTGTGGCGAGAATGATGTCCTCTACCCCTACCGCTGCAGCCGAGGTGGAGTCTCGGAGGAAGGGGCGTGTTGGTATAGTGATGCGCCACTCGCCCTATCCTCCGCTACTCTGACGGGGCCGCACCGTTAATTGAAGCGGTGGTCGAGCCGCGGGGGGAGAGGAGTGTCGGTATTGCACTCAGCAGCCGAATCTTGGTTGGCGGCGAAGCCAAAGACCAGATCCGCCGCAGGGGTCATTAAGGCTAATACTTCTAAGTGCTCATTTTTCCTGGTCCCATGGCCTTCGCACATCGAACACGGGGGCATCTGTTGCGCAGGTGGAGTAAGAGGCCGAGAAGAAAGGTGCGCCTTGTGTTCCTGGTGCACCTTACCTGCGAAAGAAAAGGGGGTGAAGAAATCCTTTCCGAGGAGTGGCTGCCATGGGGTGGCCGGCGCTGGTGGGGCCGCTGATGTGTGTGAAAGCGTTCCCGTGGCCCTGCCAATATGCGGCGAAGGTAGAACACCACGGGGTTTTAGTCGGTGCGAGTCTGACATAACCCGTCTTTGCCCCCGCGAGGTGGATTTTTGTATTCCGATAAATGACACTATAATTAACTAGTAGACGTAGTAGAGCTATGAGCCATGCTGCAGCTATACCATGATTGCAGCACATACAAGTCGGCATGACCAGGGAAGGACCACGCTATTACAGAATACCACCTTAAATATCAACATCTGCATTTTGGTTCTTAATTGAGGACAATTGTAGGTGACTACGGGCCGCAGCATCCACTTACAATCAGGTGGACTGTGTGCTCATTTGTTACTTTTATTCTATAAAAAAATGCATCGCTTATTGATGTCTCAAATTACATGTTATATTTTCATCTCCGGGTAGAGGAACTTCATTTCAAACCAGTAGTAATGACAAACGGGCACACAACCTACCTGATGGTAAGTGGATGCAGTGGCTAAGAGACATCTACATCTGTCCTCGATTAAGAACGCCTCGTTTCCAGTAAAAAGGGTCTCGAGATCTCTACAATCACCATGCGAAACAAATCAGCATTGCGCTGCTATTTTACGCAGGTATTCTTTGAGAGAGTGGTAGTATATTTAGTAGATTTAAAAAAAAACTGTCCAGACAGTTTTCTTTTTAAATCTACTAAATATTCTAGCCGTTCTAGTCGGTTAAAACTAGGTCGGCCAGCAGTAGTTGGTTAAATTTAGGTGTACTATTAAATTTGTAAAAACACGGATGTATGTATCAAGTAATATTACAGCGACAGTAGGTTAAGGTGCGATTAACCAAAAGCACAGACAGTTGTCTAATTTACAAATTACTAGCTTTTGCCCGCGGCTTCGCTCGCGCAGGAAACCTACCTAAGGAAGTACGTAAGGGTTAAGACTATTTATATTTTCAGTCTATGCTGAAAGTACTTCTTTATATACCACATTAGAAGTTCTGCCTTCAGATGGTAACACGACGAAGTTGTTAGATGAGCTCACTTTCGAGCAGGCCACGTAAAACTGGCCGTGCGAGAAGCAATCCCCCCTAAGATCAATTCCTGCTGTTTTCAGTGACGAACCCTGAGACTTGCGAAACAGACCTTAAGGGGGAATTGCAATCTTTTAAAACTCGAATGGATACTTTGTTGGTACTCGAGCACAGCCAGTAAATATAATGGCCTCTACCACGTTTTTATGTAACCACACGCAACCTGATCCCATTGCACAACTTAGGCGGATTGAGATTTCTCAGTAGCATAACTGGAACTCCCACTTTGAGGATAAGTGTGTGAGACGGTAGACCGGGTGGGTTGAGTGCATTTAGGAACTCCACAGGATAGTGTATAGCATCATCCGTATGCACAACAGTGTCCACAGATTTGTACTGATATTCTTCACCTTTAAACGACTTCAACAAAGTGTCATTAATGAAAGAAGCCTGATCGGTCTTAGGTGTGATAATTGCACGTTCGCACAGCCACTCTGTGGATTTGCTATGTAAGTGGTAGACATCTGGATATATTCGGGTTCATTTAATTTAATTATTCGGCTGGTGGAATTGTAATTTTGCCCTCAGTTACCGGATATTCTCCGTTTCCTATTTTAAGGAGGACATCGGAGAATTGTCCAGCGCAAACATCGCCCTTGAAGGGCATGTTTTTCTTAAGGTAGAGTTTTTTGACTAAAGGCCAAAGATTTGAGGCCTTAATGCAAGCCTTAATTTCATCAGCTCGAATTTCCCTCGGCACTATCGGCAGAGTCTGACGGAAGTCTCCAGCTAACAACACGGTGACTCCACCCATCATGTCATCGTTCCCTCTGATATCTTTTAGAGTTCTGTTTAGTGTCTCGAAACCCCCTTTATGCGCCATCGTGCTTTCGTTCCAAGCTATAAGTTTACAATCGCGCAGCACTTGTGCCGCATTACTCTGTTTTGAAATGTTGCAGAGTGGAGTTTCGACATGGATGAGATTTAACGGGAGCTTGAAAGCAGCGTGAGCTGTCTTGCCTCCCTCCAACAGTTTTGCTGCGATTCCTGACGATGCGGCAGCTAAGCCAATGCCACGATTACTACTTACTTTTCCTAGTAGCAAATTGATAAGGAAGGTTTTTCCAGTGCCACCAGGAGCATCCAGAAAAAATATTTTTCCAATTTCTTTCTCAATGTTGCCAAGGATCTGCTGATAAACGTAACTCCTCATTAGAGGACACCACTTCTCTCATAATACCGAGGTCTCTCTCAGATATTCTCGATTACCGAAAGTTGTTGCAGATATTTTTGGCTCAGGCAATCCATATTGTGCCAAGTTTTGTCCTGTTTGAGATAACACTGCATCCTCGATCAATATCAAGCATCTGTTGTACACTTCGTCTATGAGCAGTTGCGCACTATCTTGCAATTCTCTCTCCAGTTGCCGTTTAATATCTTCCGAGAGACTGTCTTTGTATTTCTCCCAAAGGCTTAAAGGATCAGATAGTTGACAGACAATTAACTTTATTGTAAATAGCTCTCGCAGCTTCAAAGGAGAATCGCACAATGCAGCTTCCTCTAAAGTAGTGTCCCAATGCTTGTCGTCTTCGAGCAATCCAAGAGTCTTACATGCAGACTGAAATGTTGGATGGAGGATACCATTCACAGTCTTTAAGTCTTCGAAAGATGTCGGTCCTCTAACCTCATGGAGCAGCAGGCGTAGGTGGTAGCACTCGGTGTTGTTTGGATAAATGGTGTAGACCCTACCCAAAACGTGCTCTTTTCTCACTCCGGGCCAGCCCTCTACAACTTGCCCTCTTTTCCTTCTAGAAAATTTATTTTTGTTCCAGACAAAGTAAGAAAGGACTTCAGAGTACAGCAGTATCTTGGCATAATTAACCGTATCGCAGATATCAAAAAATGCTAGAAGCGTTGTCTGAGGTGGACTCTTTATTTTTTTTGACAGGTTATTAGAGGTAAAGTATACACGTTGGCAGTTTTCAAGGTGAACAGCGAGATGTAAGACGGGAGGGAACCTTTAATGAATGGGAAAGCTTAAGATCCTCCAAACTTCTTCGGAAATACTTATGTACTATACGCTTTCGTACATTTTCACCTCATCTTTCTCATTCTCTATAGTAGATGCTGCTTGATCACTACCTTTGTTCACGTATTTACAAATATACTTGATAGACTTAACACAGCTGCAGTACTTCACATTAATATGAGAATAATAAGAACGTAACAGGACAGGATTGTAAGGCACCACCCAGCGATTTGTCCAACTCAATTTCATTATTATTTATTGTGTAACCACCGTCAGCTCGAGACAACCTCCTGTATTGCGGATGTCCACCGTCTCCTGTCTGTGTCACCTTGAGAAGTGGTCGAGGATACCTCTTACTGCAGCTACCATTTTATTTATTTATTTAATATTCTTTATTATTGCACACCATACATAAATTACAGAAATTATATATATAAAAGAAGTATGCAATGGACGGCCTTATTGCTGACAACTATTTCTTCCAGACAACCAAATGCAATCCTGTCCATTTATTATAAGGACAGTAAGGACAGGGCTAATTGGTGTGATAGAGAAAAAAGAATAAACATATATATGTATATATATATATAAATATATATATATATATATATATATATATATATATATATATATCATCATTACAGCCTTTCATAAGTCCACTGAACATAGGCCTCCCACAAGGAATGCCACAAAGCACGGTCCTGAGGCACCTGCATCCATCGACTTCCTGCATGTATTACCAGGTCGTCACTCCATCTCGTGGGGAGTCGCCCTACACTTCGCCTACCGGTACGACGCTGTCACTCAAGAACCTTTCTTCCCCATTGGTTGTCAGTTCTTCGAGCTATATGGCCGGCCCACTGCCACTTCAGCTTACTAATCCGTTGGGCTATGTCGGTTACTTTGGTTCTACTGCGGATATACTCATTTCTAAGTTTATCACGCAGAGAAACCCCGAGCATAGCCCTCTCCATAGCTCGCTGAGCAACCTTGAGCTTCCTCATACCGCCAGCAGTGAAGGACCACGTCTCAGATCCGTAATTCATCACTGGCAACACGCACTGGTTGTACAATTTCGTTTTAAGGTTTTGAGGTATGTCTGACGAGAAGATGTGTCGTAGTTTCCCGAACGTTGCCCAGCCGAGTTGAATCCGTCGATTGACCTCTCGGTCGAAGTTGGACTTACCTAGTCGGACTATTTGTCCCAGGTAAACATACTCGTTAACAACTTCGAGCTTAGTGCTCCCAACAACTGCCGGCATAGGTGTGACATAGACATTAAACATGATCTTTGTTTTGTCCATGTTTATCTTAAGACCTATCCGTTGGGAGACACTATTGAGGCTATTGAGCATGGTGCTTAGGTCCTCCAGCGATTCTGCCATAAGGACTATATCGTCAGCAAATCGAAGGTGAGTGATGTACTCGCCATTGATGTTCATACCGTATCCTTTACAATCTAGAAGCTTGAAAACGTCTTCCAATGCAGCGGTGAAGAGTTTCGGGGATATAACATCAACCTGTCTTACAACTCTCTGCAATTGGATAGGTTTCGTACTCAGGTTCTGTACTCGGATAGCCATCGTAGCTCTACTGTACAAACACTTCAGCACTTCGATATATCGACAGTCAACTTGGCACCGCTGAAGGGACTGCAGCACCGCCAAAATTTCGACGGAATCAAAGGCTTTCTCGTAGTCCACATACGCCAGACATAGTGGCAAATTGTACCCTTCGGACTTCTGTACAATTTGCCGCAGGGTATGTATGTGGTCTATGGTGCTAAAGCCCTTTCGGAAACCGGCTTGTTCGCGAGGCTGGAAGTCGTCAAGTCTGCGCGCGAGACGATTCGTAATGATGTTTAAGGGCTTGGTTGTAGATGCCATCCGCGCCCGGAGCCTTTTTGGGCTTCAGTCCTTTGATGAGGGATGAGATCTTATCGTTGGACACAGTGATAGGGTCAGAGGCTGTGGGGGTGAGTTCCGGCGGCGGATCTCATCATCCACTGTCTGGATGTGGGAGGGGTCGGTGGGTGGAGAGCTAGGAGAGTATTGTGCGGCAATGCTGTCTGCAAAGCACTCATCCTTTTCCTCGTCCTCAAAGGCATCCGTACCGTCGGTACGGGAGGGAGGGGGAGTGTGGGTGATAGCGTCTATGCGGAGGGCTCTTGCCATCCCATAGTACGCTGTATGAGAGGGAGAGATATTCTCCACGAGCTTACTCTTTTCGAGATCTCGAATTTCGGTGAGGCAGAAACGGACTTCTCGTTGAAGACGATTGGCCGTGCGCCTATATTCGGGGGTAGGATAGATAGCTGCTCTCTGGAAAGCAGCTCTCTTGGCTTTCATTTGTTTGCTAATATGTAGGTGAAGACTATCATTATTAGCAACCGGGACGACCCTTTCATTCTCCTTAAGGGAGGATTTTATAAGGGTGGAGAGAAGTAGGCCCGTCTTCTCGCGCTGCTTATATACTGTCAGAGAAGCGACTGAAATCCGGTTGCTGAGGCATATTTCCTAGAAAAGGCATAAATTTCTTAATAATGGGTGGGAATAATTGAATTTATTTTAAACTAGCTGTTCCTCGCGACTTCGCTCGCGTGTTAGGGTTTTTATGTTTTTGCGCGGAACCCTAATTCTTTTTCTAAAATATAAATAGCCTATGTTACTCCTTATAACATCAGCTATTTGCCAGTGAAAGTCCCGTCGAAATCGGTTCAGCGGTTTCGGAGATTAGCCGGAACAAACGGACAGACAGACAGACGGACAGACAGACAAAAATTTTAAAAATTAAGTTTTTTTCATAAGTACCGTATATAATTTCAGATGCATTTAGTAAAAAGCTGGTATTTTGACATTACAAACAGACACATCAATTTTATTTATTTGTATAGATTAGAAATTGAAAATTTAGTATCACGGGTAAATATCAACCGATTTTCAAAATTCTTATTGCGTTTTACTTTTTTAGAGATTATTTCAAAATCTCTAAATTTTATTTTAGTGACGTTTTGAGAAATCGGGGTAAATTAAATTATAGCGCAGCGATGCCAGAATTATCGAATTTTGGGGAAAATTATGGTACAAATTGTAGTAAGTATACTCCAGCGCAAATAAGACACTAATTCAAATTAATGTTATATTGATGTATTTGAAGTTTGAAAACTTATATTTACTTATTTTTAGGGTTCCGTACTTCAAAAGGAAAAAACGGAACCCATATAGGATCACTTTGTTGTCCATCTGTCTGTCTGTCTGTCAAGACCCTTTTTCTCCGGAACGCGTGGAGGTATCAAGCTGAAATTTGTATCAAATAGTCAAGTCTACTGTCTCTTGAATTTATGAAAAAATCAAACTTCTAAGCCAACGCAATCAAAAGATACAGCCGTTTATGGCGCAAATATTATACCGTAAGGGAATAAAACCTACAGGGTACTTCCCGTGAACTCAGAATCTTAAAATTTGGTACGAAGCAACGTATTATAGCACAGATAAAGGAAAAATTGCGAAACGCATAAATTTTTCGTTTCATCATATAATAAAAATATTTTTAATAATTTTAAACTTATATACCTACGGATTTATTCGGAACCCTCGCCATTTTCGCAATCAACGTCCCAAAAAACCTAAATAACGACACCCATGTCGATTATTAGGTTTATTTACCCCATTTCACCCACTAAGGGGTTAATTTTCGGAAAATCACGAAAGACGTATTTGCTTATTTATTTTTGGGAGTAATCCTACTGTTTGAAGACATGTAGTCCTATATGAAATCTTTAAATTTGCATTAAAAAATATTGAGGGACACTTAATGCACTTAACAGGATAAAAAATATCCTATCTCTTACGATG